AACACACACACACACACACACACACACACACACACACACACACACACACACACACAGAGGCTTATCCAATGGAGTTAGCAGGCACTATACACAATAGTGTGGTAACTATTTAAATGTTTGGGTATATATGGGACCCCAAAATCGGGAATGAACCTAAAGCTCAAAACACTATAGGGAACGGTGAACAGATTCTAAAATGCAGCTATTCAGGACCATCTTGAAAGGTGTTTCTGATTATATACACATTGGCATGCTCATGTGTCATTCCTTTATACAGTATGATACTTATCAATCTGTGTTAAGAGCATGCTTTGTCTTACTTACCTCCCCATAGGCAATAGTATTATTGTATCTCCTCATTTCTGGGTAAACATGGTCCAGGTACCACTGGAAATTCTTACACTTTAAGCTTTTTCTTAATGCTTTTCTCTCCGAGACATCCCCAATGTCAATGCCTGGATTCTGAAAAAGAAAAAAAAGACACTCGGCACCTTAGGTAAGAGTTTATTCTTGCCATGTTATTTAACAAAGGGATTGGGTTTCCTTGAATTCTCATATGGTTGCCGAACAGCTTGAAGATTTCCAAAAGCCGCTCTACATACAGGTGGACTATGCTATTTTCAAAACCCACACACACCCATTTCTTAAAAACGAAACAAAAACCCACAAAACACACTTTGTCCAAGAAGGTCAATAGAAAGGCAAGTATCTCATAGCCACAACAAACAGGAAGAAATAGTACTCAGATTGATGTGAAGTGGGCAGGAATTCAGAGACAACAAGTAAGATTTAGGAAGCTGGAAGAACTGACTTTTGAGGAAAGATTAAGAAACCATTAGTCAGTGGGCTTTGGATCAGTCCCTAAAGCCAGAGAATTTCCTGAAGGGATCAGTGCCCAAAATGTTCAGAAGAGCTCAGTTTCTATTTAGGCACCAAAGTAAGAGTCCGTCTGGCCATAGGTTATTAGACGGGGAGGGACTGAGTGCTGAGCTCTTGTGAAAATCTGTCCCCTGTTGTGGGTACTGTACACTTAAAAATCTGTCCCTCCTAAAAGAACAAAATTCGTGAAACTTCGCTAAGAGATGGCTGAGGAGTGAGCATGTTTAGGAAGGTGTAAAAGAAAAAAAAAAGACTTAGGGCATCATGGGAGAATATAACCAAGAGTAATAGAATAAAATTATGGAGACAATTAAGTTTAGGCTGAACCTCAGGAAAACCTCCAGACAATTTCAGGTATGATTCAACTTCGATGACAGGGTATAAAATCTGGATGAAGTGAGCTGGGATGATGTGCTAAGGAGGCCCACAAACCAGTCAGACTGAAATATTCAGTGCATGGTGTTTTACACTGAGCAAACATGTTCCATATATTATATAAAAACAAAAAGGAGTCAATACATGTTTGCACTGAAGAGGTTTTATAATGGATATGAACAAGTGTACTTTAAAATTAAACCCTCACAGGGTGACTAATAATGCCCATAGAAAATTCCTGAACCATTTGAAAAAGACTCAGCTGCTCTTTTAAGATCATTACTAGGGAGATTCCCGCTGCTCCTTAAGCATAGAACTCTACTGCCCTCAAAGCTTGGGATCTAATTTTCTACTCTCTGTGGTAAGCTCAAACCCCCCCCCCCCAAAAAAAAAACTCATCCCAAGAGCAAGCCCCCCAAAGAAACTTTTATTCACTTGCCTCTTACACAGAAAGGTCTAAGGCTTGGGTCTGAGCCCACTCAACTTGCTTACAACCCTATCCCAAGTTAGCCAGGAATGATTGCAGATACAGCCTAAAAAAGGCCAGAAAGCAGTCAGAAGTCAGACTCCTGCCAACTCTTTCTTCATCACATGCACTTGGAGTACCCACAACACTCAGATCTTTTAGCCCCAGCTCATGTGTTTCACAACAGCATATTAATTAGGGACCATCTGCAGTCCCCAGCATGTCAAATCAGGAAGCCCTTTCAGAAGGTTAGTACCTAATCAACCGCACCGAAGTACCCTTTGTTCTCTGACAAAGAACAAAGGCTACGTTACTGTGTGGCCAAATGCCAGTAAATCTCCACAGACATAACCTTTCTTCAGACTACAATGGCAGCACGCTCAAAACGCTCATCCCTCAAGGATGGTGTTTTCTTACAAGCAGGCTCTACTGTAACAGGACGACAGGCTGCTGTACTAAATGGAATTCATCTTTGTTTGAATGTGCTCTATAAAGCCTAAACATATATTTGGCAATCCCTCTGCAGGCAGAAGCTCCTATTCAAGTCAAAAGGAGTTTTGCCTGGATATGGACATCCAGAGTGGCTCCTTGAAACTAAAATTTAATAAGGGCATAGGTAAACAACTCTGTTCACTAGTGACACAGCCACTCAAGTCAATAGTCTTCTTATGTACTTCTATGGGGAGTTGGATCAGGCCCTATCTAATGTTCACGCACAACTGCTATTGGAGGCATGAAGTACTACAAGCCAAGGCCCCAATCCTGTAAACTGGCCCATATAGGCAGACACTTATGTTCAAGCATTTATGTGGAGTAAACGTAGCCACCAAGGATATCACAATGTATTGTACTATTTACAGCAGCTACACAAGCACATATCTGTTGGAATTGGAGCCCATTTCATGAATAGCTGATGTCTTGGATGTTTGTGTATCTAAGGCATCTGTAAACATGGTTTCTAAATGCTATTTGTCTCTAAACTAAGGTCTTCAGGGCAGAGACCCTGCTTAGCCTATGTTTGTAAAGCACTGTGTTGAAGGCTGGGAACTTGGAATAGAAATTGTTTTCCCAACAATTTTTGTGGAATACACTCAACAGAATGAGCTTGGGCTACAAGTTGGAGAATTTACAATGACGTTGCTATTATGGAAGCGATGGTTCCTGTTACTATGGGTCTGTGTCGCAAGGCATGCAACGTACATTCACCACATGAAAGTGTGTTAAAAAGACATTTACTGAGTGTGCAGAAAGATTTGATTGTTTTCTGTCTTTCTGTGGGATTAAAGACTAAATTTGCTGGGTAATGTCAGTGATATAAATACATAGTAAATATGAATTGAAGCATGAGGCAAATACATTGTGTGTTTAATCTTCAGAAACAACAAGCCAAACCCTCAGCTGGTGTTAATCGGCATAGCTCCACGGACTTCTATGTCCTCCAGTAATATCCTCCATCAAAGTCAACGGAGCTATGCTTATTTGCACCATCAGTATCATGATGCAAAAGACAGCTATGTTTATTTAAGATGTTAAAAAAATAAGAGGTAAGAGTACATGAATTGAGGAAAAGCTGTACCTCCAGTGGCAAGTTCCATGCAATGTAAACGTGAGACTTGTAATCGTCCATCCACACTTCGGCCACTCGCAAAGCATTCCGCTTGGTGTAGAAACCAATGTTATTGTTGTAGGGCTTCTTCTTGCGTTCAATGTGAGCAACTCTGGAGCACGGCAGGACTTCCATGCTGCCACCACACAGCCACACCTGAAACAGAGCAGAATGAGATGTGCAACCAGTCAGTTGAAGAAGGACTGAGTTTTCAGATCAGAATCCAGCACATTAATCTCTGCTGCTCTCAGGGTACAATCATCCAAAAATGGAGGAGGAGGAGGAGGAGGAGAAAGAAGGGCTGTTCCCCCCTCCCCCCAAATGAACTACCACAGTCCGTTGACCACCATGTGGATGACAGCATAGTCTGATAAAGGCTCTGTAATACCTGAGAGCCCAATCCTGCAAATACTGTCAGTGTAGTGCTCACTACTGAATCCCAATTAGACTACTCATCGTAGCAAGCACTCTGTAGGGAGAAATCGGGGCCCTATTTAAATCAATGGCAAAACTTCCACTTAGGGTGACCAGACAGCACGTGTAAAAAAATCGGGAGAGGGGGTCCGGGGTAATAGGTGCCTATATAAGAAAAAGCTCCCAAAATCGGGACTGTCCTTATAAAATTGGGACATCTGATCACCCTACTTCCACTGGACTTCAATGGGGCCAAGATTTTGCCCTACGTTTGGTAAGTGTCTGCAGGATTGGGCCCTTAGTTTACATGGCTGTTACTCTTGACCAATAGAGTGCACACACCACTTCTTTTGTTCAAGTCATAGTGGTGTCTGCGACGTATCAGCATTATTGATGCCGACAATGGCATCAGAGGTCTGGAAAGGGCCCGATCCAAGCTCACTGACTTCAACTGGAGACTTTCCATTAATTTGGATCAGGCCTTGAATTCAATTCTTGGCCATGTCCAATCCTGGAAATCTGTTGGGAAGGAAGCAAAACCCAAAGCCTTTTCCACAGCTGTAAGTGCCTAGGGCACTCTGGGTGACCAATGGAATATCAGCAATGTTTGAATCTACAAGAAAGGTAACGCAGTGAAACAGATAGTAGGGACAGATTTCTCTAGGAAACATTTGCTCATGCTTCCCCGCTGGCGCCCTCCCACCCCCATGGTTTAAATGTCTTTAAATCGCAGTTTATATTTTATTACAATAATTTCAAGTCTTCATTCTCTCATACAGAAATGGACTGAGGCATACAACCAACAATATATTCTTTCCAGAAACCTTTATGTAAAGTCTTAGCATACCTGTACTCTACAATCCCTGGTTTTTAATCCATCTTAAATTGATAAAGGATCATATCCAGGGCTCTAGGCACTGGACAGGTATGACACAAATGCATGCCAGGTATGCCTCATGATCACAGTTGAGCCTATTTTGTGGTGTTATTCATTAATGTTTTGCATAATTATTATAGCACAGTATCTGAGATTATTTCCAGGCCCACCACTTTTTATTCCATTTGTGTGCTCCAATTTACATTGGCCTCATTCCGTATGGTATCACATTCTAATCTCCGTTACCCTGAAGTAAATCGAGATTAATTGCATTGGCCCAACAGGCGCACAATTCTAGGAGACACACAAAAAGAGCATCCATATGTACCCATTCAGAACTCTATGGCTACAGAGGTGACCCTTAAGAGCTCACCACTTGTATCTAAGAGATACTAAGGTAAGCTTCTCTAGGAATTATTCCCTTGCACTTCCCTATGTTAATAATGACAAAACTGAAAATATTTAGTTATCCAAGGCAATTAGCCAGATTTATGAACCTCCATTTATTCAAATGGATAGGTTCAAACGCCTGTTTTCATGCACAAATGCAGAACGACAACGAGCGAGAGTGCATCTTCCAGGAACACATTGGAGCTAATGCTGTACCTTCCTTGCTCTCAACAGCACATATACTCTGGGTATTATTTGTATTCCAGGAGTTCCTAGGAGCCCAAATCATGTATCAGGATCCCACTGTGCTAGGTGCTGCACAAAACAACACAGCAAACCTACCCTGATTCTGAGGTTTGCCCTTGACTTCTAACACAACCAAAACAAAGATAGAATTCAGAACTGTGTCACTTGTCATGCATCTGAGCAACCCTAAGAGCATATTTTATTTTAGAACCACCACATTTCAGTGTTTCCAAAATGAAATATTATGGGATTTCAGTTCCAAGACAAATTTTCAGATTTTGGCTTTTCATCCTGATTGAGGACAGAGAATTTTCATGTGGTCAGAATTATTGTCACAGAACTAAAATTCTTTTCCCCAACACTACTAGTTAGCAGGCTTGGGACGCAATTATTATGGTCTTGTGTTTTACTCACAATCACAATCTTTTCATATGAAACAAAAAGTTTATGTTTCAGGAATAAATGTACAAAGAATCTCTGGACAAATGTATATGGTAGTAAACTAAAGGATAATGTCTCAGGTATCATTTGAAGGGCACGGATATGTGTATACATACACAAGTCTGTTGCAGTAAGATCAATAAAATGCAATTATGATAGGAATGACCATGCTCTACCCTCAAATAGATCAAGCTGTCACAATAAAATAAATAAAAATGGACACATCTCTACCAAGTATTTCCTACCTGGTGAGAACTGTAGCAGAGAGAAATAATTCCAATGTGATTTAAAACCAAAATTTGTTTAACTACTTGTATTTTTATAGAACTTTTCATCCTAAGAACATTCATATCTATTAAGTCTCATCAAACTCCTGTGAAGTAGGCAAATATTATTCCTCTTCCCATCTGTACAATGAGGACAAGGCACAGAGCGGCTGTCACTTGTACTTGCTCACACAAAACCAGATTGGGTTTCCCTTGCTGACACTGGTGGGCAGTGAAGTGGCTGCACTGAAGTGGCCCAGAGGGACTAGGCAGAGAATAGAATCCAAGAGTCTTGGCTTCCCTTCTTGTACACTGAGCATTAGATATACTTCTTTCAGTAAGTTCAAATTGATCTATTATACGCATATCTATACCCTGTTTAAATAGGACTAACAGTAACTTACTTTGAACGCTGAGTTTCCATATAGGTGTTATTAGGAAGACGTCCAGATATTGTTCTCTTTGCTCCAATAAGAAAAGAAGTACAGGACTAACCTTCCAATTAAGCCATCTTCCCAATGAGCCGAAGAGCCACTTAAAGTGACTTAATGTGGGTCTTAAAGTGACGCAAGTGCTTGAAATGCCATAAGCCTTTAACACACATTAGTACTTAAAGCTACCTATATGTTACAGTGTCTTAATCTGCCTTAAGTCTTCAGACAGCTTTGCACATGTAATTGAGAAGTTCATTGGGAAGGGCTGTGTTTCATTTACTCACCACTCATATCCCTGTTGAGTGTCTCTCAATTAAGCTTTAAAAAAAAACAAAAAAAAACTGGTTGCCTGGGAACCATCCCCATTAAGTGGCTTTCCCAATTAAGTGTATAGAAATCTAGATGATCGCAAAAAACCTGTGCAACCATGAGGCATTGTTTGCTACAATAGCTCATATTAACTAGTTAATATGTTCCACACAGTTAACTGACTGTATGCAGGATTTTTCCATTACTCAGGGGATCAAACATTAGCTGTGAAAGGGAGAACATAAAATAAATCGCAACACTTAGATCAATGAGGAAAAAAATCCACTTTTAAATTAAGTCACGTTTGGCCTATTTAACTTGGCACTGTCCTTTATACATATAGTTACAAAAGGAGCATATTATTTTTTAAAAATATGCATGTTTAGGGTAGAATGCATGTTTCAAAAGTTTACTGTGGTATATTTCCTGGTGGGAAAAAGAATCATGAAAGTCTTCATTATTTTTCAGCATAAGACAAATATCTAACAGCTATTAGCCAGCCATTCATCCATCCAGAAAGATGTAAAACTGGATGCATCTCTCTCCAGTAATTGATAATGGTGACTGTGTAACCTCTTCTCTATCCAGCATAGAAATACAGGTCATGGGGATACTAGAATACATAAATAATTTTTTGAACTAAGCTCTATGGAGCGAATCTCAGAGAAACAAATAAAAAAAATAAATCTTTCACCCACAGACTTTTGAACTACACAACAAAAGAGCGGTAGGTGATGCGTTTCCAATTATCTCCCAAACAAATTTATTGCCTTAGGAATTAATGAGAAAAGAATATATAATGATTTGTCTTGTGTAGTGAAATTTACTAGTGATGTTGAAATGAGATCAGTTATCTCTTTTCTAGACATTTTTGGCATATACAGGAAGGGGGGGAAAATGGTAAATACATGATGAACCAAGTTTGACAATTTCACTACACTACGGGGGCCATTTAACTTTCCCTTCCAATCACCCTTTTCAAGCAGGGAAAGTTCACTGGTATGGTAATAAATTCATGAGCTTTTTGGCATCTCAGTTTCCTTGAGGATACAGGGAGGCCATTGTGGGGAGCTAAAGTAGAAAGGAGAACTGATTCTGGACACAGCAATATGGAGTTAGGATCTCCAGATGCATAGATGCCACCTTTTCATCAAGTAACCCATCTTACTCTGCAGGCCTGGGTGCCAGAAATCAGGGGCTTGCTTCAACTCCCACTGGTTTTAAAAGGTGTTGGATCAAGCCCCAGGAGAAAAGTATGTGTTATCCTGAGCACACAGGCTGTCGGGGGAAAAAAGAAAGAAAGAAAAACATATTGCCAGCAGCATGAGCAGGGAGGCACCAGCAGAGAAAACAACTTAGGAGAAGAAGCCTCCAGCCATGAAAGAATCACTCGATGGGAAATGTCGGGCAGGTCCTTTCCACAGTTAAATACTAGCACTGTAGGTGCACTTGCACAATTGGTTGTGATGGTGTTTTTTTTTTTTTTTGGTTGCTATGCCAGACCTCAGCGTTTTTCAATGGAATTCATCCTGACGAGCAGATAGTGTGCATCTGGGAAGACGCCATGCATTCATTTCAAGTTTGCATTTGCAAAATAGGAGAGGCATTTTTACATGGCTTCCCTCTCCAGCAAGAGCAATTTGCATTTATTCCTCTCAAATGACAGCTAGGAATCAATCATTCACTGTGCTTGTGACTATCCTGAAAAATAAAAAGATACTGACATGAGTGGAAGGTATATGCCCTCAGGGCTGAGATGGGACCAGGAGATGAAGCACT